GTCAGGACCCATGACCCCCTCCCCCAGATCCGCCAATGTTAATTGAGAGAAAATGTAACTCGGTCGGGTATTGGATAAACATTCTCTTTCTTTCCCTTCCTTCTTCCCTCCTTCTTTTTTTGCATTTCCGATCATACAAAAATCTCCAGACATTATATATTTTTCACCAAAAAGGTAGGGGCTGTCTGTAGGGGGGGGGGGGGCTGTTATTTTTTTCGATGCCAAGAAAGTACTTTGTATTTTTTCCCCTTCTTCAATCCATTTTAATCTAGACTTAACTTGGGCCCCTTTTGCTTCTGTCATATGTTTTCAAGATTTTTTTTTTTGTTTTCTTCAAGTTTAATTTCAAGGTGCTTACTATTGTCTTGCAATATTAGATTATTTAATCTGTTGATTTCATTTTAAAATTGTTTCTTTCTCTCATTCTTTTTTTTATTTTTTGTTTTTCCAAATTTAATTGAAAATTCTTTAATTCTAAATTTTATTATCTCCCATTTATCCCGTGGGTTTATCCCTCTTCAGTCCTGGCTTGATTAACAATGTTTGTAATATTTTTAATAAATTCTTCATCTTCCAGGTGTTTATTATTCAATTTCCACAGGCCTGGCCCTCTTTTTTTTTATTATTGATTATGAGTTTTAACGAGACGGCCTGGTGATCAGTGAGAATTGATGGTCTTATATCACATGAGTAAACAGATTGTATTAGATTTTGAGAGATAAACATATAATCTAGTCTTCTATATGTTTGAGTTGATTTTTCTACGGATTAAGTGTCCTCCATGCATCAATTACATTAACATTTTTCATAAAGTTCACTAATGTATATATTGAATTGTCTGTTATGCTTTTACTGCCTTTTTGGTCTAAATTTTTATTTAAAACACAATTCATATCTCCAGATAAGATGATGTTAGTATCCTCATTAACTATAAAGTTCTTAATAATATTGTTTAACTTTCTATAAAAAAAACACTTCGTTCATTTGCAGTATTTGGTGCATATACATTAACAAGCACAAAATATGTCTATTGTGATGCTTATAATGACAAATCTACCATTTTCATCAATCTGTGTTTTATTAACCTTATAGGTATCTCAATCCTTAATCAGAGTTGAAACTCCTCTTGAGTAAGAAGATCCAAAGCTATGATAAGTTTGACCTTGCCAAAGAAATTCATATTGATTTATTTTATCACGGGTCGAGTGCGTTTCTTGAATGAAAAATATATCAACTTTATTGTCATTTGCCCATTTGAAAATACATTTCTGCTTATGCTTCTATCTTAATCCTCTAGCATTAAGAGACAAGAAGTGAATGTTAGGTGTCATTTAATAAATTAATATATAATAAGTATATAAGTGTAATAAATAATAAGTATCTATCAATTTTGTTTGTTTACTTATTTGTTTTATTTATTTATTTATTTTTTTTTTTTATTTATTTTTTTTATCCCTAATTACGTCCAACAGATTATTGGTTTTATATGTATCTGTAAGTCAGACATAGATAACAGATTGCTGTAAGTAAGACTAAAATTTGCATAGACAGTTAAGATCGTCACACAAACGCCTATTGTTAATAATGTTCATGCTATTGTTTACGGTCAACCATGACAACGTACAGTACTTGCATAGTGCATTTAAGAACATGTTTCGTGATGGGTGAATCGGGGGTCATCATTATTATTATTACTATTTTTATGAATGTGATTTATCGAGATCCTTGTATTTAGCATGAGTTTATCAAGGAATGAATATTTTACTATTTTTTTGTTTTTCTTCTTACTTTTACTTGATTTTACTTGACCACAATAAAAGTTCTTTAAATGAACTTTTACTTTTGCCCATTTTTTGGAGTATGTAATCTACCTTTTTCCATAACATTTCGTTTCGAGAACATTCATAAAACATATGTTTTTCATTTTCAATAGCATCACAGTTATTACATTTGTTGCTCATTTTCAGATTCCATTTACATAGGCGTACATTTGTAGGAACAACTCTATTCAGTAATTTATAATTAAGCTGTGCAAAGTTTCTGGGTTTTTTTTTACTTTACGTGTCCAAACCTCATTCCAACTAATTTCCTCATTGAATACATTTTCCCATTTATGTATACTTTGAGGTTGAATAAATTTACTATTGATAAAGTTTGAATAAATTTGCCTTGTTTTCATCCTCAATATGTTTTTAATTATGGTACAGTCACCTGTAATATGATTGTCATGTTGATGATTATGTTGTTTAATTATGTTTAACCAAACATTTGGCATAGATTCAAAATGTGTAGCATATTCACTAAGCCAATTCCTTTTTATACATAGTTTTTCAATTATTTCCGTCGGTTTCATTAAACAATTAAAATTAACAACGTCTTTGATTTGATTAAAACCTGACAAGATCCTATTCCTAAAAAACAATGATGTGTTATTACATTTAATTTCCTTATTTCCTTCTTCAGCTTGCAGTCCCAATTAAGTTCATTGCATTTTTTGTTATTGTATCCCACATCTTGTTATTGTATCCCACAAAATCCTGACTGGTTCATTAACCCAATTTAAGTTCACTGGTTTATCAGTTTTATTTTTATTTTTACCGATCCACATTGCATTTGTTTTTGCTTTATTAGGACACATACCTGATACTTTACAGAAATCGTTAACAATATGTATACCCAATTCTATGCTATTTTCGCATCCAACAAACAAACCGTGTCATCCGCAAGTTGGGCGATGCGAATTTCTTCAGTGCTATCCAGAGTGGGTAGAGTTATCCCCTTATAATGAATATCATTTCTTACATTAATGGTCATAATTTCAGCAATAAGAATAAATAGTATTTATGCAGACAGTGGACAACCCTGTTTTATTCCACATTGCATTTTGAAGCTCTCTGATATCCAACCGTTATTGATAATAATACACTCAGTGTTATTATATATTGTATTGACCCATTTACAAAAGGAGTCACCAAAATTGAATTTTTTCAGTACTCTGAACATAAAATTCCTATTCACCGAGTCAAATGCCTTTCTAAAGACAAGAGCTAAAATTGCACCTTCTAATTCTTCTTCTTCAGTATAATGAAGAATATCATTAATTAGACGAACGTTTTCTCCTGCGCCCTGTAATATAACCTTTTTGGTCATTGCCTATTAATTTTGCAATTACTTTATAAAGTCAAGAGCTTAAGATTTGTGTTAGGATTTTGTAATCTGTATTTAGTAATGTTATAGGCCTCCAATTTTCTAATAACTGTCTATCACCTTTTTTTACAATAAACTGATTACACCACGTCTTTGAGTATTACTCATTTCATTTCTAAAATAACATTCGTTAATAGCTCTGCAAGCTATTGTTTTAATTTTTTTCCAAAAATATTTATAAAACTCTACTGTAAGGCCATCACACCCTGGAGCTTTATTTAATTTCATTTTTTTTATTGCTTCGTCGTATTCATGTAAGGTTATAGTACCTTCACAAAAACTGCTTTCTTCATTAGTTAAGCAATTTACATTTGAGCTATCTAGGTATGCGTTTACATCTTTAAGGGAAATCCCCTTATTTGCATATAGCTGTTTATAAAACCGTACCTCTTCACATAGAATTTCCCGTGGTTTTGTAAGTACTTCACCATTTGAATTTTTTTAACATTTTATATGTTTTTTCTTTCCATTATTTTTTTCTAAACTAAGAAAAAATGTTGTGCTACGCTCACCTTCTTCAATCCACTTTACCCTTGAGCGTACATGTGCTCCTTTTGTTTCTTTATCGTAATTGTTTTCTATTTTTTTGTTTTGTTTTGTTTTTTCTTGAATATCTGCCTCTATCATTTCATTAGAATTACTAATAACTAGGTCTTCATTTAATTTTTTTATTTGTTTTTGTAGATTTTCTTTTTATTTCTTTTTTATTTATTTTTTTACCATATGAAATTAAAACATCTTTAACTTTGACTTTGATCAACCCCCACAGTAGATCAGGACTAAGATTGTATTCGTTACTTTGTGTTTCAATAATAGTATTTCGAATAGCATTTTGGTATTCCACGCTATTTAGGAGGTCATTATTTAGTTTCCAGTAGTTGGGGCCTTTTTTGGACTCATCGATTACTATTTTTATTGAAATTGCCTGATGATCCGTTAGGATGGCTGGCCTTATATCACATGACTGTAATTCGTCGTGATCTAGAATATTTTTTTGAAATTAGCCAGTAGTCCAGCCTCCTATATATTTAGATTTGATTATATCTTCGCCGCCACGTAAATTGTATTTTATTGGCATTTTTACTTCTCCAAGCATCTTTCAAATTTAATCTTTTCATAAAATTTTTAACCGTAAACACAGATGTGTCGTTTCTGTTAGCACTGTTTTTTGGATCGATGTTTTGGTTTGAAATGCAGTTGAAGTCACCTCCTACAATGATTTTATCAATATTAAAATCTACGATATTCAGTATGATATTATTCAGCTCTCTAAAAAAAATGCTCCTTAATTTACAATTGTTGGGGGCGTAAATATTACCAAAGACATATGTTTTGTTATTAATTATTACCTTTGAAATAACATACCTCCCCTTTTTATCAATGCATTCAGTGATTTTTTTTTTTTTAAGTTGTAATCTTGTTTAAAAAGGATCGAAACTCCAGCACTATTTGAATGACCAAAACTATGTACACACGTTCTCCTCCATGTTAAATTAAGTTGATTAATTAAGTCGGGAGTAAGGTGTGTTTCCTGTAATAGCAGTATATCAGCTTTCTGATCATGAAACCAATTAAAAATCTGCCTTTGTTTGTTGCTGGTGCGTAGACCTCTAACATTTAAGGAAATGCAATGGATGATAGCCATTATGATATATTAGCAAAGAAAATATTACGGTGCAACATGGTATATCATACCAAAGGTTACAAGTTACTCTAGAAGCAAGAAAAAAGTACACTGTATGGAGACCTTATGTAGACTTGCTTCGCATGCGTTTCCTTTTTTTTTTTCTTGCATTCCTCTGGAATTCGTGATAAAGTTAAGTCAACTTCATCAACTTTATTGCGTTCACTGTCTTTCGCAGCTCGCAGGTTATTCTGTGATGGTTTTTCTGATGTGATAAACGTTGTGATCCTTGTTTGAACATTCCCGCTATCCTTTCGTGGGTTGCTGCTACTTCGTTCTGCGTCATCTGCCGCTTCATCTTCATTGCTCACAGCATCATCTCTGCAACGTGTCAACGTGTCACTATCCTCATTATCACTTTCGTTAAGGCTTGACCATGGATTAGTGTTTTCAACGATGTTTTTCCACATTTTTTGTATGAATTTTTCGCCTGAAGTTTGCCGAAATAGCATGCCGGCTATGACTTTTTCATCTTCTTCATTGCAGCAGTTGTCTTGCTTATTGCTTGATGTGCCAGGTCTTGTGTCCGTAACTATTTCCGTGCAATTTCTGGCAATATGACCTTTCTTCTCGCATCTATGGCACTCGAAAGGAACTTTTTTGGGACATGCTTTAGCCTTGTGACCTACTTTGTTGCACTGAAAATAGATTCATATTAAATATTGTGTCTCCACTAGTTTTATGTTACAATTTTGGTGTGATTAGTAAATATAATGGATATTACCCATACAAACATTTTCTATAGAATTCTATAAAAAAAAATCTATAGATTTTCTATATAGTAGTCTATAGAGTATCTATAGAAACTTTTATATAAGTTCTATAGAATATTTCAAACAAATTCTATAGCAAATATATAAAAATGTTCTATACAATCTCTAAAGGATTTCTATACAATTTCTAAAGGATTTCTATACAATTTCTATACAATTTCTAAAGAAAAGTAGCTTAATTCTCTATAAAAATCTATAGAAATTAACAGCATTTCTATAGAAAATAACAAGTGTTTCTATAGAGAGTAACGCTGATTATAATTTCTTTTCTATAGAAAACTATTATTTTCTATAGAAATTGACAATACTTCTATAGAAAAGAACAGCATTTCTATAGAAATTATTGCAAATATATAATTTTTTCTATAGAAAACTATGTAAATCTCTATGGAAAATAACAGCA